ACAGACAGACAGACAGACAGACAGACAGACAGACAGACAGACAGACAAACAGACAGACAGACAGACAGACAGACAGACAGACAGACAGACAGACAGACAATAGGAGAAATATAAAGGAGTAAGACCACCCAGTGACGCCCTCCAACCACCCGTGGAAGGAGCTCTGTGAACGATTGTAATCATGACGAGATCTTGTAAAGGAATATTGGTGGTCCAAAATCGATCACAGTAGGCTTCGGCCGCCACCCGGGCAAAATTCAAAATTTCCTACCAACTGAAAATGTGTAATGTGCCGCGCGCTCATATGACCTTATGCATGTAAGCGCCGTATAACACACACACACAAAAAGAATATTTCAGAGTGGGAGATGTTACATTTCTGAACTTTGGATTCTTTTCAGGTGAACAAGATATTCATACTGCAGTGAAGTACAGTCGAAACTGTCCAAGACGGCCACTCAATGTGGAGGAGGAAAGTGGTTGTCTTGGACAGGTAGACGCATTGGATAGTGCCATTCTAATACAAAAAAACCACAAGACTGGAAGCGGGATGTGGCTATTTGGACAGGTTGCCGAAAGAGCTGCAGATTCGTCAGTTTTTCGCAATGGAATAATATGTTATATTTCCTGACGTTGGATTCCATCTCCAGATGAACAAGTTATTCATACTGCAGTGAATTGCAATAAAATTATATTATCGTTGTTGAACAACAGTGAGTGATACTGCAGAGTCTGCAATGAATTATAGTGTCATTGTTGAACAGTGAGTGATATTGCAGAGAGCTCTAAGGATTACTTAGACCCCGTGGACAAACGGAAACGAGAGTCGAGCGGAGTTGCGTGTTCGTTTGCTTGCATGTTTGTTTGTTTGTTTGTTTGTTTGTTTGCTTTCCCATCGATGTGACAATAGTGACTTTCAGAAAAGAAACTAGGGTCGATCCGGATTTGTGCCTTTGTTTATGTTTGCCATCCCAACGATTTGACTCAAGTGACTTTCAACAAGGAAACGAGGGCCGATCCGGAGTTGTGTGTTAGCTCGTTAGTTTATTTGTCTTGAGACTCTAGTGACTTTCAGAGAGGAAACAAGAGTCGATTCGGAGTTGGGTGTTAGTTTGGTTGTTTGTTTCTTTGCTTCCCCAACTAAGAGACTGTAGTGACTTTCAAAAAGGAAACAAGAAGTTGTGCATTTGTTTGTTAGTTTGATAGTTTTTCCCTTCGGCAAGAATCCAGCCAGCGACTCTGAGAATGGACGAGGTGGAGAAGCGCGTGTTGAGCCAGATGAGATCCCGACTGGTCAAGGAGGTGGTGGTCACCGAGAGCTTCCTCAGCGCCTTCTGTGACTGCAACGTCCTGGACGACCAGATGACCAGGCTGCTTAAGGTCAGTCTTGGAGGGGTTTTTGTGTTTTTAATGAGTGTGTGTGTGTGTCTGTGTGTGTGTTTGTGTGTGTGTGTG